AAGAGTCGCCCATCTCTATCAGGGCCAGGTGGGAGCCCACGGGTGCACACGATTCAGAGGGAGGTTACCATATCCATACAAGTGTGTGCACTTCTGCCAGCGCTCGCACACATACAGATGTGTCCTGTCTTTCATCTTATTTCCTTCACTGGCTCCCTGCCTCCACTCGTGTTCCTCTGAGAGTACTGTATTACTTTTTATTGGACATTTATCCCATTTGGCAGGTGAAGTCGCCCACTTCTCACTCCTGCACAACCTCTCAGACTCTCCGCCAGTCGTAAACACAGCCCTGATATGACTGGGCCCGATTCCATCGCTTATTATCATTTATTTAAGATCTCAGAGGCGGGGGAAGGCCGGTGGGTGGCCCTGACAGCGAGGCAGCAGAGCGTGGCGTTTTACCATCTGGGCCACACTGGGCTCAGCACAACACGAGTGCCTGATCTAGATACATCACTAGCCATCAACGGCTTCAAGACACTCGCTGCTTGTCATACAGGACAGGACGGGCGACAGAACGCTCGCCCCGCAGCTAGCATGATAGCAGGAGCCTCTGTCTCCCCCCTCTCCTCCTTCGTCTCTCTCTGTCTCTTGTCAACAGAGCACAATATGGACGAAGTCACGCTGCTGCGATTACTGCAGCTTAAAGAGATACCTAAAATCTCCCTTTAAGAATCACAATCACTCTGTGGGCTGGAAATTGGCTGTAAAAAGTTTGTTGTGACTTGAATGTCACAGAGCATGATGGCTGAGGGCAACTTTAATTCACGTCAGTCACAGGAGTTCAAAAGTGACAGTGAAAGAAAGGCATCAAATGTCCATAAAGACCTGTCAGACCTCTCCTGCAGCATAAATCATTTCTCTGCTCTCTGTCTGTTTGCACAGTCTAATCCAAACACTCCAAATTTGTCACTTCTGTCATCATGCACGACCCCATTAAGCTAAGTTGATGTCTGTGTGAGTTTGTGCACATGACAGCCTGATCCTTTGAAAAATAATATTTTAACCCATTTCAGTCTTCCTCAAGCTGGGAGAGGACCGTCCTTATTAGGCTTGGATGATATGACAAGATCATCTCTCAACATGATATTGGTCGGCCATGATATGATCCTCAGGTGTCCACGATAACAGAAAGATAGAGCTGTGCCATATCACCTCCTTCATTATAATATTGGTATCATTTTTACTGTGATGTGAAAAATTTATATCATGATATTGGCAATATTTTGACTTGTTGACATATTGACGGTGGTTCCCAAAAGAGGAGGAGCTTCAGTAGTGTGTAATAAAGTGTGGCGTCCGCTCAGAGGGAACTCATTCAGCGGCTCCTCTGGCAGCAGCACAGTGATTCTGTCTCCTAACAGCCTGTCACAGGTTACAGCCTGATGATCAGAGATGATTTATATATTGAGATCCCAGGGGACATTTGGTTAAATGTGTAATTAGTGTTAGATTTGATTTAGTTGAACTATTAATATTGTGACAGAATCTGAATCTCACTCTGAGAAGAAATGAGAGATCATTTTTCTTTAGTTTTTACTGAACATTAAAAGCAAACTGTAAAAATACATCACTGATTTTGTTGCCATTCAATCTTCATAAATTAATAATAAAATAAACTTTTTTGGACAAATTTGTCATACCGTCAAGAATATCTTTATTGTGACATTATTTTAGGACCCTACCACCCACCCCCATAGAAAGATATTCAATTATGCAACGCCTGTTATGAATTTTGTGTTGTATTCAGTCTCTTTTTCTTGCTTTCTTTATGCTTAGCACCATTGTTGTTGTGTATCCAAAAAAAGTAACACCATGTTAGCATACGTCTGATGCTGTGTGTAATTACCCAGTAGTCCTAACTCCAGCAGGAAAGATGTTCGTTCTCATTAGCAAAAATATTCAGAATGTGCCTATTTGGTGATTCTTTGGTTGTACACCAAATGAGAAAGACAGCCAGAAGACAAAGACGAAGCAGTAAACAAGTCATGACTTCAGATGGAAGCATCGCAAATCTCCGCCTCAATCTTTAAACTCACCGTCCAATAAAACAGTCACCAGCTCTGGTTTGGTTAAAATACAGCCTTAATTCACAGAGTTAGATGTGAAAATAAACCCTGCAGTCTCTCTGCTTTCACAGTTCAGCTGTTTATAGTTGGTCCTGTGACGTTGACGTGTGTTTTTGACGGTACCATTGGGATTTCTAAACACTAGACTTGCACCGATTAAAATTTTTTGGGCTGATTTGCAGTGTTTGGATGGCCGATCCTGAGTTCATTTTTTTCAAACCGCTTTACAGCATACAAGATATTGCAATATTTTCTATCTTTGTTTTATTAGAACATTTTAGCCATGATACAACCAGCTTTTCAATAATCAAAAACACTAATGGTCGTTGATAAGTAGTGTTTAACTTTTGATTGAACACTAAATTAAAACCCTTGGCGCATACTGCAGCACAATCAAACAGGTGCGCAACTCAGAGCATCAGAAGTGTCTCTGACACCAGACTCAGAGTGGACCGGTGGAACTGGAAAATGCATATTTTACATCAATAAAATCTATTTTATCATTATTTTGAGTCACATTGTTGAAAGAATTTAGTCGTCTGTGTTCAAGCAGGATAATAGCAGGTCTCCATTGTGCGTCGGGCTTTCTATTTCCTTGTCGGAGATTTTTTCTTTTTTTAATTACTACTTACGTTTTTCAAGTGATTTCCCAAATTTGTTGTTGAGTTGTGATATGCCAATTGCTTTTGGCAAATCTGGCACTCTGCTTTCTGGGGGTTGTCGGGGCATATTTTAAAGTGCAACCACACATCTGATGACCTCTTGGACATGTCTGCCAGCTATCGGACTGGTGGGGGTTAGTATTGCGTTTAAGGCCTCCCCCAAAAAAACGGGAAAAAAGCGCCGAAGCTTCAAATTTTATTTTTTCACAATCGAATCCCGTGCCATCGAACGAAGCTTCGAAGCTTTGAATTTTTTGGGTCAGGCCTAATAAAAACAGATAAATGAAATAATAATTCTTGGTGTATAGCATTTGTGGGTAATTTCTTGAATAGACAAAAAAGTAAAAATATCTCCTGTGGAAAATTCACACAGGTCTTCAGGACGTGCCCGACATTAAGCGCGCAGACACGTGCATCTTCAACACGCACCTCGCCTTCTCTCTTTTGATGTGTGTGCATGAATGATTAAGGTGAGAAGCCACCCATGTTTCACTTCCTCACATCGTCCAAGCCGTGAGTTACACATGTGCGTGTGTGTGCGTGCTGCTGATGTTACACAATGTCTGTCATGTGACACGTGAAAACCAGCCCGATTCTGAGCACTGCCGATGAATCGGTGCAAGTCGACTAAATTCCCTGGTATACCATGATACCAAGAATCAGAACGTGGTCATATGAATCATTCTTGTATCAGTCATTTGTAATAAATAGTCATTTTGGAAGATAATGACAGATGTTTAATTCACTTGTTTAGCTTGGAGGTCTTCTTGTTAAACTGCAAACTGAACGACACTCCATTTTATCCTGATGGGAGCTGCTCCAAAACAATTGTCCATCAAGACTTTCATACAAGTGTAGAGTGCAGTCGTACTCTGTCTGCAAGTTAATTTGGTTTTCTCAAGGTTTTATTTTGCATATATCTTTACACTTTGCTTTATAATAATCATCTGACATCAGCAGGGAGCAATGAAAGTCCCCATAAAATGAAGAATGTCTTTTTTATTGAAGACTCTGTTAGTCAGGACAGCTTCCAGAACAAATGTGCTGATGAAAATTCATAAGCCGTTTGAATGGTAGTGTAGCAGCCAGGATTTTGAGAGAAAGAAAAATAGAACAGGGACTACAAAGGAGGACATATCTGGTTTAGTTACATCAGGCACAAGTATTTTTATTCCTAAATTCTCCTTTAGAAGTGGTGCTTTACTTAAAAGCCACTGTGCAGCAGTTTTGACAGTGTAAACGTTTTGAATTTAAGTCTTAATGAAATCCAATTTAACAGCTGCGGCCAGTTACTGTTATGGTTTTGTTGCATTCCTGTGCCCACTGAATCGGCCTTCTGATTTAAAATATGATTCAATTGAGTGTAGTTAGTTGTACACGTTAAGCCTGTATTACCTTTGTGATGTGGTGTAAAATACTTTGAGCAGCTTCACAACAGTAGATTTTGAGGTAATGTGTCCCACTGGACTTCCTGCTGACGGCCGTTGCACTCATATTATTTTCTGGGTTAGCTCTATGAAAGCTTTATGGAGCTTTAATGTAGGACTTGGCAGCAGTACAAGCTGAGTGGGTGAGTGAAGGGTTCACTTCGGCCCCTTTGGGTGTTGTCCGCCCCGTCTCTGTCCTCCTGGCTACCTCCTCCTGAGACCTGGACATTGTAAGCAAATGACACAGAGTTTAAAACACGAAGGCCCACCACTGACGTAACACAGCTGGGTTTCCCTTCGCCGAGCCCGAGCTGCTCCTCCGTTTCTTTCTTGTTGGGTCCCAGGCAGCTGCGACTTGTCATCTTGTGTGCATTTTTAATTCCTTCAGAGCTGTTTAACCGTGGAGTACCTTGGCGGTGCCGAACATCTGCTCTGTGAAGGGACTCTTCAGTGTATTTATCCCTCCCCGTGCAAAGAGCAAGGACTGGAGTGTCATCTAAATTTGATGGCAGCCTGCACTGTTGTTGCTCGCACCCAGGGAGAGCAGAAAAGTGAAAAATAGGTCCTTTCCTCGCTGTTTCTCTGTATGTTTGAAATATAAATGAACTCTGCTTTAAGCTCGATTTTATAGTCTGTTTAATGCTGCTGCCTGAATGGGAGGATGAAATGTCTTTTGTTAATCAAGTCAGAGGAGGATTATGGTTAAACATGTTGTCAGGGTCAGTGAGGGAGCTAATTAAGCGAGGTTTAGTGATGAGATGACTTCCTGTTTTCACGTCTTTGTTTGAGAGCTGTGCAATTATTTTTATGTCATCGTGTCTCTTTGTTTTCTTGTTTTCCAGAAACCTGCTGGACAGAGACACGTTCTCCAAGTCTGATCCAAGTAAGCCTTTTTGCTATCAAACACACACGCACACACACACACACACACACACACACACACACACTGTAGCTCCCAGCAGGCCAAACACACAGCACACACCCAGTCACGTGCACATTAAATTCTGCAGACAAACAGAAATATCCACAGACAAACATCCACCACATGCAGGCAGATTTAAACTGTACCAGCACAGGCATACATGCACTACACATGGACACACACACACAGACACAAACCCACACACTCTGCCTCGCCTGTGTGAATCAGTAGGCATTTGCATATGTCAGGGGTCGTATTCGTCACTGTTCTCCCTCCCAACGTGAGTGAGGGGAACCAGATCATCCTCACACACAAACCAGCCACTTCCCTCCTACGGATTAAAGGACACACACACACATACACACACACACTCCTCACTCCCTTGACAGCAGGGGTTCAATTTGCCAACTGGTCCAGAGGTTCTTAAAGGCCCAGTCTGCAGTACAACAGTAATTTGCCTTGATAGAGAAAGGTAAAGTGCAGGATGGAAAAAGTTTTAAACGTGCAAACTGAGTTCTCATTTTTAGAGAATGGTTTTGTCTCTACCGAACATGTAAACACCAGAGCTGGCTATCAATCCTTAATTTGTTTTTTAAACTGACTCGTGTGACACAGCGCATGGAAAACTGTTAAATACCAAAAGCTGGCATTTAATGTCAGGAGCAGAACGCCGAACGTGTCACACAGCTGATCAGCCACAGGGTCCACCTTCACCGCCACGTGAGGTCATGAAACAGTCATCAAACATTAAGCTTTGATTGTTGATGCTGTCAGGTGGAACAGTGAGGTCGGTCCTCAGCACCTCCGTCCTGATCACCTGTGCATGTTGTGGAAGACGGCAGGCTACAATTGGTCGATGATTGGTTGATTGATTGATTGACTATCACCACCTTTTACTACTTATACCTACTTAGTTTTACTTTACACAAAACTCAGACCAATCAAACTGTAAAACTAGGCCTTGCTGATCAAATATAGATCTAGGTTGTTTTTTTTTACTGTACTGCCTATCACTCACCTACAGTGGTTTCAGAAACATATTTCAGTGCCCTTATTAGCTGTAAATGCAAGAGTTTGTGAACAGGAAGTGGGTGCCATATGCTTTCCTGCACAGGGAGAATGGAGGCAGAAAAACTGAGATCAAATGATCAAATCTAAACCAAGATTCTTTTACTGCGCAGTTTGTTTCTCTCACAACATGTCTCAACTGCTGTTTAACTGTAATACCAGGTCGTTTCTTGTCAGCTGGCCGCCATAGTTTCAAATGAACGTGTTTGCATTAACTCACCCACCAGTGGGTGCATTTATTGGTCCAGTGCGGCGCTGTGCATTCTGGTAGTCGTAGGTTTTCTATCTCCGGGGTAAAGCGTTCTTTTTCTCGGTCTTCTCTGGTTCTGTTGCATCCATTTTAAAAGTATTTGTGTCTTTCTGTAGCAGAGACATCCTGGTGTTATTAAAAGAGCATCTCTCCAGCAGTGAAATACTTCTTAAATGACCAACTAATACGATACAGATTCTCAGAAGACTTTTATTATTACCTGAATATTTTGGTTCAAACATTTACCCACCAGTGTGGTGGATAGCCTTCTGAAATTTACTCACCAAAATGGAAAATTTGGGGCTTGCTGGGTGTCAGCTTCAGACCCTGGTTTCAATCCTCAAGTTAATAAAAACTTCAAAAAAGTAGTGCTCGGTTATCTGAGCAAAAACTATCTTGTCAGGATGATTGTTAAAATTGAACCTCAGCCTGACTGAATGCTGAGAGCAGAACCTCTTATACTCCCGTACACATGCACACGTGCACTCGTGCACACACAAGCTTGAAGACTGTAAAGTAGTTCCTTGCTGTTTTCATCTATCGTGCCGGCTTTGTTTTCTGTAACGGACTGTGACAGTCCTCCTGTCTGTTAAAAGCCCTCTAAAAATAAAAAAACATGACAGGAAGAGAATTCTCTGAGTTATGATGAAATGATAAATTACCCTGTATTCATCTGGGGTTTGGTTACCAGGCATTTTTTAAGCATCACCTTGCTTCAGTCCCAAAATATCCCGCTCTTTGCCACCTGGGTGCTACACAGCGAACCCAAAGGTGTTTTAAGTGTTGGCCGGTGTGCATGAACCCATAACTGATGAGCTTCCAGAATCGCGGATTGGACCTTTAAGTGTCAGACGGTGGGAGAGGAGGATGAGCATCCCCGCCCGCACCAACATTTATGCAAGGAGGCACTTGTGCTGCGTCCATGTCTCTGCTCTGCTGACAGCACTGGCCCCAGTCACACAGCATTAGACCGCCTCAGCAGAGCCACACGCACACACACACACACACACACACACACACACACACACACATCCAGGGCCTCAGGCAGGCTCACGCACCATATTCATATTAGCTTATAAAGCTAGACAACAATCCTGTGTTTTGTTTGTTTGTTTGTTTGTTTGTGTGTGTGTGGGTGTGTGTGTGCAGTAACGTGGACGTGCTTTGATCAGTGGGCTTCAGCAGATTGGAAAAGGGCGTTTAGCAGACGGGAGTGTTATCAAAGTACACACCGTCAGTATCTCCTGCATTCAAAACAGAGATAGTGTTGGCCGTGTTATTGTCAGGGTTTTACCTCATTATCAGCCCGTGAATAAAGAGTTGAAAGTACGGCTGTACGAATGGCGAGGATGCATCGCTATTTACAGGCGTGTGATTGATGTATTGCTATCCCCGTCCACACAATAACGCGGAGACCATGTGTCATCTGATGCTTCATTGCAAGATTAAAGGATGACTGTATATTGAAGCAGCTGAGCCCAGACCCGCTGCACGCCACCCACAATGCAACATATACAACATCCAGACTGACAGCATGGCCGCCGTCGCACCAGACGCAGGGTAATTAGGACACTTGTTTTTCTGTGTTTGCACTCAAAAACAGTGTGACATTTTCAACACGGCCGCGAGTCGCACAAACAAAATGTTGGTAATAATGTAGCGTATCTGAGCGCGGCAGGAGCTTCGCTCTGAAAGATGGAAATGTCAGTTTTCAGAGGAGAAAAACTGGGATTCATCAGATAGGATGATTTTCACACACAGTCACAACTGTTAATGAAGCCATGATTAAATCAGTCATGTTACTTCATCAGTTGGTGGTAGCTCATACATTAAGTCAGGCATAAATTTACAATTAATGCTGTAATTAATGATAATGCAAGTCGCCTCAGCTGAGGGTGTTGCCTTCATAATCAGATGACACAAGTTGCACTCAAGTTCTTTTTTTAGAGCGTCTGATTGCATCAGGTGTTTTTTTTGTCCCTAAGACCCTGATATAGAGTTTTTATGCAACAAATAAATAGTGTTTTCTTCCCTTTGAGCTTCAGTAGTTGTGTCTCCATCTCTTTCTTTATGAAAAATGAAGAAAATATAGAAAAAAGTTTTTACGCTTCGGGAGAGGTGGAAATATTGGTGTATTGATAAAGGGTAAAGAGTGGTACAAATTCAGCAAATAAATGATGATGTACAGTTATCTCATAGGCTGCTGCAGGGTCTCTGTGTTGATGCTGAAAGGCAAACATGTCAGAACTCCTCCAGGAGCACAGAGCTGTAATATTTCAATCAGAAGAGACAGGAGAGTGAAGTAAATATAATATTCCATACAGAATGTGAGTGAATAGATTAACAGATGATTTAACAGATGTCTTTGGACATCAGAGGGAGATATTTTGTGATTGAGGACATCTGAGTGGCAGCAAAATAAATCCCTCCATGGAGTCCAGACAATGGTTGTGGCTGATGACTCTGAGGATGATGAGGCGGATGAGGCTGATGAATCTGTAAAGACTCTGCGGTGATGGGAAGGTGGAGGGTGCACACGACTGCGGCAAGAAAGAACCATATTTAAAATGAGGAGCAGTGAGATGATAGGCTGACAGAGAAGGTGTGTCACTGTGCTATTGGTTGATTGTTAATCAGCTGATGACTCTTCTGAGAGCCCCGGACAATGACAGCTCGAGATAAAGAGTGACCATGTGTGTGAGGAGCAAATGGCAGGGTGAGAAAGAAAACTTACAGCCTGAGCATGCAGAGTATTTTCTTCCTGACTGAACTTTGGCTAGAGCTTCATTAGTTGTCCAACATTCTCTCCATTATTACGCATCCATTATTGTCCTTTGTTTCAGGGTTTGACTTAATAATGTCATCTCTTCATGAATCTTTGGTCTGAGCTGGACTTTACAGATCAGTGTGTCTGTAACCACTGAGCTATAAAACCTGCCCAGCTCACCAGCCATGATGTGCATCCCCATGGATGCTCTTCCACCAACACAGACCATGTTAGTGGACACTTAGCACTCAACACGAGCCAACAGGCTCATGTGTTTGTATTTTTCCTTTTCTTTTCCTTTTTAGTGCTTTTGTGTGACCAGAGAGGACAAGGACACACAGAGGTTGTTGTTGTTGTTGTTGTTGTTGTTGTTGTTGTTGTAGCCTTTCAGAGTTGGCGATCGTTGTTGCTCAGGTGGAATGGGTTGGAAACGGGTCGCTCTGCCTTCCTCATGAGGCGTTTTTTTAAAGATAATTCCCAAAGGATGGAGCTCAGATTACAGCAGATTACAGCAGTAAATATCACCCATACCAAACAGAGCAGTGTGTGGTTTGTTAGTGTAGATATCAGAGAGAGGACAGACGATTATTAAACAGCTGAAGTGCAGATCGACGTCTTTACTCCATTTCTTTCGGATGTAGCAACTAGATTGGATTTCACCCACTCTTTCTAAAACAGGTTGTCTTCCTAACGTTGTGATTACTGAGTAGTTTCAAAACAGAGATGAACTAAATCAGGTTGCAAAATATTCAAGACCTAAATAAGGTTTAAATCTGCAGCACCATCCAGTCAGCTAATGCTATATAAAGTAAATGTAGCATCATGAACTGTAACACAGGATAAATCAGCAAAAAGAAAATTAGGTGTCAATCAGTATCTTATATTTTACTGATAAACTTTTGTAAATGAAGGTCTGACTTCATGTTTTGTTTTTACATGTGCCGGCCTGCCCGATATCAGCATTGTTGCCACATACTGATTTTCTATTTTCTGGGCTGGACTGTTCATTAGGAGTGGTGGTTAATGATATTGTGCGGACATTCAGAGCACCACACTTTCAAGCACAGAGCGTACTCTAGGCAAAGATGGAGCAGCAGAATGCAGAAACTGAAACTTAATCGTTCATTCATTCATTAAAAAATAGAGAGCTCCGTTTCCTCAAACAACAGCGGTGTCGTTTCAAATTACAGCAGATGAAACCAGCAGTGTTCCCATGGAAACCATGCACCCTGCGATCCAGAGCCAGATCTAAAAGTTTGCATTAACTTGCCTCTGCAGCAGCTGCTCCTCTAATCCAACAATCAGCTCTGATCAAGCTGACCAAAAACTGATCAACTGATCAATTCTCCGCCCCACAATTCAAACTCAACAAACTGCTGCTGAGGAAAAAAATACATTAAGAGTTCTGCCTACGTTGCATCATGATCCACAACCTCCAGATTCAGAGAGGGGACATGGAGAGATGACAAAGGGATGCACGCACACGAAAAATATCCAAAGCATGTGTTCTGTTGATTTTTGGCAGTAAGATATTGTTCTTTTACAATGTTTAATGATGTTAAAGTCTCCACTATAGGGACTTGCTTTATACTTTAGCCACTGCTGGCTGCTAATTGGCTAAATTGTTTGGACGTGTACTCAGAAATGATCGCCAGTCTTTACCAAAGGTTTATATCATCATATGTTATTGTCTCACCAGTGTCCGTAATGTCCGTTTAACTTCTAATAAGTTTCATTACAAAGTTCAATAAATACAGACACATAAATCTCAATCTGAGCACAGATGAAAACTGTTTGCTTCCCTCAATAAGCCACACCTGTGCCTACTGGCATGAACTTAAATACACCATGGTCTGCCTCAGCCAGTGACAGAATTCAGACCTGTGGGAAATACTGAACCAATAAAAGATGTTAACGACACTGACTATCTGATATGTCTGATAATTGCTCACCAGAGGCCCAACAATACGATATTATCATGATACTGAAGTCACAATACAATATTATTGTCATTTCAAACATATTGCAATTTATTACCTTTTTTCACCTGCAGATTACATCAACAAAGGAAAACTTTGTCAACATCTCTTATATCTAATGAGATAACGTTTTCAGTCTGTTCACCTCACCTTGAATACAAAGATTTTATTATTCCAGTAGGCTACCAAAAATTTGTATTTGTAATAATTATGTCATGTAATAAAAATATCAATACTTGGAGTCAGATACAGTGAACTCAGCATCGAAACAGTATTACCACACAAAAATATTGCAATACTATGCTGCATCAATTTTCACCTACCACTACTAGTCGTTGATTTTGGTGCAGGACAGACTCCACATCTGGGTCTGACTGAGGCTCAAACACGTACGTTAGCCATCTTGATGCACGCTGGTCTTTCAATGGTCGACAAAGTACTAGTCTCACAGCTGCAGGCCTGTTTCCACACTTTGATTTAAAGCTGTGTCACAGTGGGAGAGAGCGAAACCTACGACAAGCTGCAGCGGTGGGTGGGGCGAGAGGCCAGATACAGAATTTTTGATTGAAAAAGAGTAGACACCTGCTTCCAGCGTGTTTTCAGAGTTTTCTTTTTACTTTTTATGTGGAATAAACCATATATATCCATATATAAAATATTAATGGAGTAAGTAGTATTTCTGCCTGCTTTAAAATGTGTCTGGAGGGGAACTTAAACTATGATTTAATCATGTTAACACACGTCCATCTTTAGCATTTCCACAGTTCCACTGACTTTTTCATGATGTAAACATTTTACCAGTTGAAACAGATTTCTGAGTGTGTGGTCCCGGGGGTTTCAGAGTTGTGAGTGGCTGCCATGTGACAGATGTGTGTGTGAATACAGTAAAGGCTGCTAGAATGCAAATTAAATGTCATTTTAGTGCCAGCTGATTGCCTCGCTGTGTTTTCACTGGTGGTCCGTAATCAAAAAACACTCCAAGACTTCCGCGGACGGAGACGCTCGAATGTCACTAAGGAGGACTTTCTCTTCCACCCACACACTCACTCACTCACCCCCATCCTCCCCCTCCCTCCCTCCCCAGCCCCTCTCTCAAATATCATCATGCTGCAAGGCAAATTTCTAGTGACATTTAATTAGGGAGTTTTCCTCTCATGTTGGGGTCCGGGGAAAGAACATGCTCTCAGCAGACTTCTCAGTGTTTTTTTTTTTTTTTTTTTTTTCCACCGTTAAATACTCTTCAATCAGTCTAACCCTCTCTTGTTTCTCTCCTCTCCTCTGTTTCTAATTCAACAGTTTGTGTGCTGTACACTCAAGGAATAGCCAACAGGGAATGGAGAGAGGTGAGTACAGGGGTGGACGTGTGGGGGAATCATTTACAGTATAACCACTGAAAGCTTCCAAGGAGCTTAAATGGCAGCTGCCTTCAGAAAGTCATATCGGAGGGATACAATAAGTTTTTGGGCGGGCGGCCTGTGAGCCAGCTGACAGTATCTGATCAGTGATAAGAACATGAAAAGTAATGCTGTTTTTGTTACCCTCAGAAATGCAGGGTTAAGTCTTTTGGATCAATGTATTGGTCTTAATTTATCACATTTAACCCAGTGTGCTGAGCCAATCACACGCAGGCGTCTCTTTTCAGAAGGTGTTTGATGACGTTGCTTTATCGTGTTTGTGTGACAGAAACAGATTGAGTGTGTGTAAACCAGGGGTCTTTTCAGGTCCTCTTAGTTCCCAGGAAGTGAGACTCAGGACTGGAGTTGTCTTAATTATATTTATGGTGTTGGTGTTCTTTCTCTGTGTTGGGGCTGATTGCATTTTGGAGCAGGTCTAATTATCCTCGGGTCTCTCTCAGATCAGCAGCCTGTTCCACTAAAGAGATTTTGTGAGCACTGCGTACATGCAAATTGCAAAAAGGGCAGCGTCATGTTTGACAAATAATTGATGCTTGCAAATTGCAGATTCATTTTTGGGTCCTACAGGGTCACAAGCGTTGTTTTAACGAGTGCCGAAATGAATGGGACTAAGTGTCCTCACTTTGTTAATTGCAGCTTACATGTTGTAAATAATGTGAAAAAAGCTCCAGGTCTGGTTTTTTGAAGAATCTGTGCAGCCTTAGGATAGTTTTCCTGTGACTCTCTAATAGATTGAGGACGCATGACGTCCCAATATCCTTCTGGCTACTGAGCCAGTATCAGTCAGTCTTTAACTCTAATTAAGTAACTAAATGATCACGTAAAGTGATTACTCATGTAATCATTTCATGTACACACAAACCATATATTAGCCCTGTAAAGCTGTAATGTTCATCTTAAGAAAACAAAATCGTTGGATGGATGAAAAATGGTGAATGAAAATCTGGTCGTTCTAAAAACTGTCCAATTTGTCCTGAGGGAGGCACTGACCACGTTATCAGTGGCATCACAGTGGCTTATCCTCTGTGCAGTATCAATTTTTGGACATTTAAACCCAGTTCAGACTAGGGTTGCAACGGTATGAGATTTTCATGGTAGAATAAGCTTTAAGAAAATATCGTGGTTTCATGGTATCACAGAATTGATCTTATTATCAGTCAGAATGAAAACAGAAGGATTATTGTTGGTTGAACAAACATTTTAATACTATAATTGAAACATTTGTTATGGAAGTTTGTGTAAAAAGTCTCCTCTTAGAAAATAAGTAAAATTAAAAAGAGATTCTCCGTCCAGTTGCTTTTTTTTCCAATATCGTAGAAAAGCACATGCTCACTTATGATAACCAACAACTTTGATATCATGGTATACCTTGAAACCGGTATATCCCTGCAACCCTAGTTCAGACCAAAGATTCACAATGAGATGAAACCATTTTAGAACGTTGAAAAGAAAAGTTTCAGCAGTGTGAACTGTCCTGTCTCAGCTGGACTCAAGCAGGCTGATGATGTCACTTGCAACTCTTGTGGCTTGTCAATTAGGGCTGACTTCCTGAATCGATTTGATTTTGACTCACAAGGTCCCGATCAAAACCGATTTCCACTTCGATTTGATATCGATCTGATTTGGGATATTTCAGTCACAATACTGATTTTTGCTACAACGTGAAAGAGAATTTCAGAGAACTAATAATGTAAATTATACAAGGAAGTCTTTTTTAAAAAGAATAAATTCAGAACAGGATCAAAACTGAATATTTATTTTACTATTTATTTCTAGAGCAGCAACAGTAATATTAAAAAAAGCAAAGTGACAATATTAACTCACTAAATACTAAATATCTCACTGGGAACAAATCTGATATGTCAGTTAAATAAATCATTTTCCTGAAATCACAGTACTGAGTGAATTTTATGAAGAATAAAGAACAGAGACATCAGTCAGTCTCAGTCCTCTGTCCTCTCTGCTGCTGACAAGAATCACTGCCTGCAGGTAAAGTTATGGCTCATAAACATGAAGATATTAGGCAAACTAGGCTGAGCCGTAATGTTGTGTTCACACTGGGAGCAAATAAAACAATTCACAGGAGTGAATTACATTTAAATTCAATGTAAAGATGCAAGTAGATGTGAATTCTTGCAGAGCGGCACGATGGACACAATGGATGTGAAATTGATTAAACTGATTCGTGCCGTGATAGCCAATCAGCAATGAGATCCTCTGTGGACGTATGACGCTGAGGACATAACACAGTAAGTTCACTCAGTGATAAAGCGATTTCATGCACGTATGATATGAGTTATTTGCTTGATGAAGAGAGTCAGCACAAAATATCCTAGCCTTCAATCTTAAAAATTCACATTTGGTTTACGTGAACACGACATGAGACATAAACAGTTGTTGTTTCAGCTTGTTAGGAACAATTTGCTTTTAGCTGTAAAGCCTCTGTGCCACTGTGGACTGTGGACAGAGCAGACTGAAATATATCACTATAAAGTCATTGTTTACACACAACATGTGTCCTGTCTGTTGACCCGTATTTTCTCTGAAATCCAAAATATTTCCACACTGCTGATTTACTCCCGAGTAAACAACGTTATCCTCGTCATCTGTCTTTCGGCTGCTCGCCCTTATCTGCCTGCTGCTGTTTGACAGTGACACAGGATTTTAAAATAAAGGCGTGACCTAAAGATGATGATATAGATAGATGTTTTCACTTTGCATCAATAATACTGGATCATTGATCATTGAATTGATATATTGATCCACATCGATGGATCATTACACCCTAACAAGTAGCTACAAGTTTCAGCTGGTTTCGTGGTGAATCATCAGCGCTTTGAAAGAGGAATGATATTAGACATGAAGTATTTGAGATGCAGCATGTTGGCACGTTGTTAGGCTTTGTTTTTTTAACAACAGTGTAATTTTTAATGTCCGATATACAGGACTGTTATTTCTTACATTATGTAGGGTTTTTCACTGGTGTTTTTCCAGTTTGTGGAATGACTCTTTGAGCTGCTAATCAAACATCACCCTCTCATCTCTCCTCTAGTTTGGACGGACAGAAGTCATAGACAATACCCTCAACCCTGACTTCGTCCGCAAATTCATCCTGGACTATTTCTTTGAGGAGAGGCAAAATCTACGCTTTGACCTGTGAGTTAACAATTGACTTATGCGTGTTGCTGTGTGTGTGTGTGTGTGTGTGTGTGTGTGTGTGTGTTTGCGTGTGTGTGTTGTGCGGGCGTGGGTGTCGCTCTGTGTGGAGCAGAGTCGAGCGAAGACTGAAATATTCATGGTCTGTGCAGAGGGAGATGTAAGTCTTCTCCCTTTTAAATAAAAGACAAGTTTTCCTGCCACTTTTTCCACCAGTGTTTCCATGTGAATTCATCTCATTCATACAATGCTTTGAGACAAAATAGGGCCACGCTCACACAGTGAATCACACACTTGGCATTTTGTGATGATTATGATCCATTTTCAGTATCGGTCATTTCTCCTCAGTATCCATTAAAAGACAAGTTTGTCCTCACAGTTGGATGTAAACAGGATCTTCCAGCAAACAGTCACACGACCTACAAAAGTTGGTTCATTTTAACTGATGAAGACCTTGTACTCCTTCCTCTGTTAATTGTATTTTTATCAAATATTTTCCATTTTTTTATGAATTTGTTTTTGGCTGTTCTGCAGTGCAAAATAAGCTTTTATGAAAGAAACAAACAACCTAGTTTCTGTAGCAGATGCAGGAGATTGCTCGGTCTTAATCCTTTTAGACCTAAGTGCGGCTTTTGACACAGTTGATCATACAATTTTAATTGACTGCCTTAAGCACTGGGTGGGTATCTTCTGGGTCAGCACAGAGTTTTCTTAGACTTCAGCGCTCAAGCAGAACCTGCTTTGTTAAAACACAAGATTCTTTAACTACCACAGCAGACAACAAACACCTCAGGGGTCCCTCAGAGCTCATTTTGAGGCCCCATCATGTTCTCCTCCATTTTATTTTGTGATCATATAGGCAAGACAGTGACAGAATCCTGGTTTAAGGTTTGATAGAGTTTGATCTGAGGTTTAGAGAGAGAGGGGCAGTTTCTCCCTTAATCAACTTCTATAGTCATGGTGTCCATGGTGGCTACAATCTAGTCTGAGCAACCGTTCCAGAGAGGGTGAATATTTGGCTGCTGGTGAGACGGATGGAAGTTAACCACATTTCATTTACACATACGACCCACATGGTTGTGACACAAAGCTGGTTGAAAATCAGGGGGGTGTCCTTAATAATGTGAAGTTGTTGTAAAGTTTCTTTTTGACATGAAGTCAAGAACATTTATCTTTCATGGTTTAATGGATATCTTTGATGGTGGCTCTAAAACAGTGGTCCTGTGTTGAGCAGTGAGAGAGGTTTGAGGATGTCACGGTCTTGTGGTCAAAGACAGCCTGGGGTAAATCTGACAGTGTCAGAAATTTGGGATGACCATCTCACTGTGTGAGTACTGTTACCACCTATGTCTACTAACCAACCAATAGAAATGCAGCACGAAATGACCCACTGATCAACGCCAAACCCAAACAAACAGACGGGTTTAGACATTCTAACAATATATTCTTCTGACATTTTATTAAATATTTTTTGGACATCTTGTTAAAATTTTTCAGACATTTCAATAACATAATTTTGGACATTCTAATAATAATTTTCTGACATTTTATCAACGTATTGGCCATTTTATTGATACTTTTCAGATATTTTTAGTAACTTTATTCTCAATATTTCAATAATATTTTTCTGATGTTTTATAAACATGTTTTAGGCCATTTTATGAATATTTGTCAGACATTTTATCAGTTTTTTTTTCGATCATTTTACTTATATTTTTTGGACATTTTTACTTTTTTGACATTTTAATAATAATTTTTGAACATTTTATCAGCATATTTTCAGATATTTTACAAATATTTTCAAGAGATTTTATCAACTTTTTTTTTCATTTTAATAATGTTTTTCAGAGATTTTATAAAAAAAAGTACAAATCCAGACATTCAAACATCTTATTAACATTTTTTCAGACATTTTATAACTTTTATTAATGATAAGAATAATTTTATTAGTTATATTAACCTCCATGTTTTGCTTCACACTTGGAGAAGTAATAACCCTACAGCATCCTTGTGCACTCAGTATATGAAGCTGTTGCATTGTACGTCGTAGCCTATGATTCAGTAGGCGCTGTCATCGTACAGTCTGCAGACATCAAACCTGATGTTGTACCCAAGTTTATTAGATCCATGTGGCACAGTGTACAGGGCTCGACAGTGCAAGCGTTTCACTCGCATTTGCGACTAAAAATAGGTGTGTGCGAACTGTAAAAAATATTTAGGGGCACATGTGCGCATAAAAACATCAGCCGAAGCAGCCTATATTTTTGTCAATAAAAAAATATGATAATCTAACCACAAATGTTGGAGGAACTCCAGCCGCCTTCCCTCTTCCCTCTTCCCCGTGTGACGCGGTTATGGGTGGTTTTCCAAGCCACTGTCAGCACAATGAATATCGTGCATGACACCAAGGGTAGCGGTGCTGCTTTGTCAGGCGTTGCTGCCCTCTCCATAGACAAACGATGGGACAGCCAGCGCAAAGCGGTTTTACAGCTGATCATGTGTAGAGGCCTTTAGGGACCGTTCGCCACGGTACCACTGCTGGGCAGGGTGGAAATAAAGCCCTTTTCACACAGAGCGCGCAAAGCGCAGACCTCCGCCGACGAACCCATTCATTGTGTATGTGCTACCGCGGCGCAAGAGCGCACCGCTCTGCCGCTGAGCTGAGCGGCGCGTGCCGCCAGCCTGCGCTCAAATTGAAATTCTTTTAATTTCACCGCAACGCGCTGTGACGACACCTCGGCGCCGCGCGTCCAATAGCAGAGAAGAGCCTGAAGTAGACCTGAAAGCGGTCACCATGGAGCTGTAGCTCCTGAACGAGCCTGTACTCCCCCAAATCCTGTCCTCTGCGCCCTACCCCGCGGTGGGCGCCGCGAAAGCTCTGTGTGAAAGAGGCTTAAGTCCTGCAGAGTTTCAGAGGACCTGGAGAATGTTTTAGGATAGTAATAAAATTATATAAGAATCATACTGTAAAGATAATATATATAAGATAATAACATTAAAGACAAAATTAAATTGCAATACTTTTTCAAAACTTGATGATTTTACCTTTCTGTACATTTTGTATACAAATTCATTAAATAATTTTGCTTGTAAATGTCTATTTGCATCACGTTTATTACGGAAAACACATTATTTGATCAATTTACATTGTGCCCCTAAAGTTCTTTGTGCGCTCCTTACTTTTTCAACTTAGGAGCACATGTGCTCCTTGGGAAAACGTTAGCATCAAGCCCTGGTGTAGCTGCACTAAACTTAGAAGACTGATAAAGTCTCTCCGTCTGTCGGAGGATTAAAACAGAAAAGTATTTATTTTAGCTACAAACTGAATATTTACATGTTGTCACGACCACATCAGAAACACCTGGATTTGGAGTCATGCTTGTGTTAAAAGTTAAAAAAAGTCATATTTCCCCATGAAGCCCTAAAAGTCGAGCTGTCGGAGTAATTATGATAATCTGTATTTTCCTCTATTGTTCCAGCCTCACGCGTTTTCCCACGAGAGCTCATGAAATATGCAACCGCTCTTTTGTTTGTTTACTTGTTGGCCTGTCGGCAGCCAGAGACACACGCTGCTTACAAACTGTGGGAGGTCACACTGAAGGTCAAGGAAAGACGCTTGCCGTTGGTCCTGTAGGGCTGTGTGTGTGTCCGTGTGTGTGTGTGTCCATGTGTAGGCAGTGTATTGTGTTCCCACTGTACCAACAGTCTGTGTCTGGTGATGTGTATATGTGTGTGTAGGCCTGTGCCTCAGCATGTAGGCATGTGTGATCAGATATATAGAGGGATATTTGTGTGTGTGTGTGTGTGTGTGTGTGTGTGTGTGTGTGTGTGTGTGTGTGTGTGTGTGTGTGTGCGTTTGTGCGGCCCGGCCGACTCCCTGTAGGGCTCTTTGTGAGTGGGTGAGCATCAGGCCCCGTTACTGTCTGCTGGGCTGATGGCACTACGATCACTCGCAGCGAGGACATGGCTAACACACACACATAAACACACACGTACGCACACACATACGCACACACACACAAATGTCTGCCTTCAGAAAAAGAACAAAATCTCCCAAACACACACAGACATGATCAGTTTCAATTTATTTGTTTAAAAGGGACGATGTACATTAATCCACATTTAAACAAATGTAAAATCACCCGAACTGAATCATCAGCAGTTCCTTTGCCAGATGTTAACAGGCTTCTGAGGATAATGAAAAAAAATACAATATGAAGCATACCATATGTGTAATTTAATTTATTTATTGAAGCTTTATTTCACCAAAAAAACTAGAGATGTACGGAAACCACTTTTTCCTTCCCGATACCGATTCCGATCCCTGAACCTTAGGTATCTGCCGATACCGAGTCCCGATCCGATACCAGCAGGTAAAATAAAAATGAATGGGATATGAATTGTTGTATGTCTCAACTCCCAAAACTCTATGTAAAATATTAAGAAATAGATACAGTACAGGCCAAAAGTTTGGACACACCTTCTCATTCAATGCGTTTTCTTTATTTTCATGACTATTTACATTGTAGATTCTCACTGAAGGCATCAAAACTATGAATGAACACATGTGGAGTTATGTACTTAACAAAAAAAGGTGAAATAACTGAAAACATGTTTTATATTCTAGTTTCTTCAAAATAGCCACCCTTTGCTCTGATTACTGCTTTGCACACTCTTGGCATTCTCTCCATGAGCTTCAAGAGATAGTCACCTGAAATGGTTTCCACTTCACAGGTGTGCCTTATCAGGGTTAATTAGTGGAATTTCTTGCTTTATCAATGGGGTTGGGACCATCAGTTGTGTTGTGCAGAAGTCAGGTTAATACACAGCCGACAGCCCTATTGGACAACTGTTAAAATTCATATTATGGCAAGAACCAATCAGCTAACTAAAGAAAAACCAGTGGCCATCATTACTTTAAGAAATGAAGGTCAGTCAGTCCGGAAAATTGCAAAAACTTTAAATGTGTCCCCAAGTGGAGTCGCAAAAACCATCAAGCG